CACTCGCCTTTGCTCCAAGGAGGGGCACTGAATGCTATCACAGACTTCTTCCAGGCTCTGGTTCTGACGAAGACGGCCACCATGGGTTACTCAGAGCTGATAAAGCAGCTGACTGCGCCCATTTACTCCTCAGGTTCAGCGTCAGTGACGTTACACAAACAGGCGTACTACTCTGTCGCAAAGTGCGTGGCAGCCCTTTCCTCAGCCTGCCCAAAGGAAGCCCCTGCAACAGTGAACCAGTTTATCCAGGACGTGAAAAACCCCAGGTCCAGCTCTGCTGTTAAAGTCCTAGCTTTCCTTTCGCTGGCAGAGATGGGGCGCACCATGAACCTCAGTGCTCAGAGAGAGCTCAAAACCATCATCCTGGAAGCATTCACTTCCCCCAGTGAAGAGGTGAAATCCGCGGCTTCCTACGCGCTGGGGAACATCAGTGTTGGGAATCTTAAGGAGTATCTTCCCTTCATGCTGAAAGAGATCGGCAGCCAGCCCAAGAGACAGTACCTCCTGCTGCACTCTCTAAAAGAAGTCATCAGCTCCTCCCCAGCCGATGGCCTCAAACCTTATGTGGAGGATATTTGGGCTCTGCTTTTCAAGCACTGCGAGTGCACAGAGGAAGGGACGCGCAATGTGGTGGCTGAATGCCTGGGGAAGCTGACTTTGGTGAATCCCTCTGAGCTGCTGCCCCGGCTGAAAAAACAGCTGACGTCGGGTAAGGGGAAGGGCAATGGTGAGGGGGGGAAGTGCCTTGTTTTGCTGGGAAGTCCTCTTGTAAGCTGCTGGTGGGCACAACGGGGAGCAAAGCCAGTCTGCAGAGGCGAGAAGGGAACAAGAGGGGTCTCTGCAAGGGGGGATTGGAGGAGCACTGGGTTGCATGGGGTGCAGGAGGGTGTTAGGAACACCCTGTGCTGGGGCAGGATTTAAACAAGGAGGTTGTTAAGATAAATCCTCAGTTCTCTTACCTCCTGAATGCGTGTGTAATGTGACCAAGAGCAGAATACAAACTTCAAAACTACAGCAATGATCTTGTCTCTTTGATCCTCCACTGTTGTTTCTTTCTGTCTTCATCGCAGGCTCTCCACATGCCCGCAGCACGGTGGTAACTGCAATCAAATTCACAATCGCAGACCAGCCTCAGCCCGTTGATGCTCTCCTGAAGGGCTGCATAGGTAGGGCACAAACAGCCATGTGAGCTGGGAACGTGAGATGTGTTGGGCGTCATCAGCAGCTCGGGGATTTTTCACACCTCTGGCTGAACCTCGTCTAATCCAGTTAGTTTTTGTCCGTGTTTCTCGGCTTTTGGGATTAAAGAGCAACGCTGCCACACGAGTCCTTGTCAAATGCTCTGATACCTTGCTCTTGGGTGTGTTCCACTGGTGATAGTTTTTTAGGGAGCGTCAATTCCTTCTGCATTTGAACCTGGGATTCAAGCATCTCACGACAAGGATCTTGTAAAATACAACCTATGTTAAAAGGGTCTTATGTATAGGGAGCCTGCATCTCAGATCTGTGGTGCAAAACTGGGCCTTCTGTTTTAGAGAAGTCTGAGCAGATGAGATCTGAGCAAGAAAAAAAAACCAAAAAATTACTTCCTTGAGTACCAAAGCTGCTGATTTGACTTCAGGACGAGGTAGCTAGCATCACGCTGTTTGGTTTTATGCCCAAATGTGGGAAGGTCATGCTTCTTCCATTCACTGTATCCCAAATGAAGGGAGGGAAAGCCTCTCTAACATCTCTGTTAGACTGCACCCCCAGAGTTATTTTACTGTAGGTGCTTTCATCACCAGGCTCCTTGAAACACATTGTGACATAAAGTATTTGTGAAACACTGCGGCGGGACTGACTGGTGTTGGTGTGTTCTTATCCCACAGGCGACTTCTTAAAAACCCTTCAGGATCCAGACCTGAATGTTCGGCGCGTGGCTTTAGCCATGTTTAATTCTGCTGCTCACAACAAACCTTCTTTAATCCGAGATCTACTGAGTGCAGTTCTCCCCAGCCTGTATAACGAAACGAAGGTCAGAAAGGAACTCATCCGGGAGGTATGTCCGTAGTTCGGCCTGGCTGCGGTACGGCAGTGACTCTGCCCGTGAAGCCGAGATGAAGCTGTCGCCCTGCCTGCTCTTAGGTGACAGCTCTATTTTTTTCTTGTTTAAGGTAGAAATGGGGCCATTCAAGCACACGGTGGATGATGGCCTTGACGTGAGGAAAGCTGCTTTTGAATGCATGTATACGCTGCTGGAAAGCTGCCTCGACCGACTGGATATCTATGAGTACCTGAACCACGTGGAGGACGGGCTGAAGGATCACTACGACATCCGGGTAGGTGCTGTGCCTCAGCTGGGGGGGGGACACGTCACTGATGTCCATCATTCTCGGGGGGCCTGGGCTTGAATTGAGCTGGGGTGTTGCCACCACACAGAGAGCCCCGCTGTGACGTTTCCTGTTCTCTGCTGCAGCCCTTCATCTGACATGGTGTAGCTCTGGTTGGATGGTGGTGGCCTTGAAAACGCAACCCTGGTGTAGCTGGTTTTGTAGGAAACTTAGCAAAGTCCACAGCAAGTTCCTTCTGCCTTTGAACTTAGGATTGTCGCTTGCACAGTGGGGCCAGTGACACTATATTAAAAAAGCGAGCATTGTCATTGTTGATGGCCTCATAGCTTAACAGGAAGTGCTACAGCCTTTTCATGCTATTGTTCGCTTTACCTCCCCCTAGACGTGGGCAGAGCAGCGGCACAACCCCTGTGCTGAACCTTGCGTTTCCCTCACGGGCTGCCAGCCCCTTACAGGCGCCCGAGAGCAGGGCACCGCACGCAGCTGGGACCAGAGCCCCGCCGGGCAACTCTTGCAGGCTGGCTGCCAGCGGGCGCGTTTCTGATACGAGCAAAGCTCTTCCTAAAACGCCTTGCACAAGTGCAAAGAAACTCGCTGCCGTGTGGGTACAGCTTGGAGAACGACCGCGCGGGCTTCGGCAGGGAGATCCACGCCCTGGCCTGGGGGACCGGAGGGTGCAGCGGCGCAACGCCCGTTTTCTCCTTCCTCCCGGCTAGATGCTGACTTTCATAATGCTGGCTCGGCTGTCCACACTCTGTCCCAACGCCGTGCTGCAACGGCTCGAGCGACTGATTGAGCCACTCCGGGCGACTTGCTCCACAAAGGTAAGGTCAGGCAGGGTGTGACGCGCTGGGGACGGGTTCTGCCCCAAAGCCACCTGTGCTCTTGGCCTTCCCCGTCGCTGCTTCCGAGCAGCCCCCTCCCCACACTCCTCTGGTGAGAAAATAGTCTGCTCGCTCTGCCTCTGCTGGAGCGTCCGGTTCTTTGTGCCTCTACCACCTTTTCTAGATGCCAACTAAAAATGGTGCTTTGGATTTGTAGGTGAAAGCTGGTTCTGTGAAACAGGAGTTTGAGAAGCAGGACGAGCTGAAGCGATCTGCCATGAGAGCAGTAGCTGCTCTCCTGACCATCCCCGAAGTAGAGAAAAGCCCAGTGATGGCTGAGTTTTCATCTCAGATCAGGTCCAATCCTGAAATGGCGTCACTTTTCGAGAGCATTCAGAAAGATTCCGCTTCCCTGCCCACCTCGGAGTCGATGGACATGAGCTAAGAAAGCTCTGCCCCTTTACTTTGCCACCTTCCCGCCCTCGCAATGCATTAACCCAACGGAGCCGCCACCGTCGGGCCACGGAGGAACGACATCGAGCTGGTCTCTGCTGCTACAGCCGCTAGCAAGTCACCGGGCGCCAGCAGGAGAAAAGGGCTGGTTCCTGCTGCGCTGGCACCGGACGCCTCGCTGAGCTGTTTGTAAGGAGACGCGCGAGCGAGGGGAACTGCGTCCCATGGAGGGGAGGGGGTGGAAGACGAGTATTCCCATTTTTCAGCAAGTTTTTAAGGGGCATACAAAGCAATCAAAATTGAGCACGCTTCCACAAAAAATGGGAACTGCTTCCTGAAGCATTTCCTTACTGCAGTACAGAGGAGAGGTTTTTTTTTAACCACTGCACACGCACTTTCTACCCCGAATTGCCTGAAGAATGTATTGTTTCACTAAATAACATGGCTAAAAACTAGGAGTCACGTCTTTAATTAGTGGTGAGCATCATAACTACAGGCCCTATCCACAAAAGCACTGAACTCCGGTCGCTAACTGGCGGGCATTTGCGGGAAGGCTGCTGCTCAGCATTTTAGCATCACAGCAGTGAGAGGCGAATGTCACTGCCCCGGGGCACAGGCTGCCCACGCAAACCCTTCCGCCATTTGAAAACTTACTCCACAGCGGCTGTTGTGCTCAAATCCTGCTTTGCGTAGGGGAAAAAAGCCTTAAAGAGACAGAGAGGATGTACCAGCCTTCAGAGAACACGGCCCCCGTGCCACACTGCCTGTAGCCATGGAGCTTTCATTTCTCCTTTTTTGACAGAGTGGTTGATGTGAAAAACGCGCATAGTGCTGTGTGAAAGAACAGCCGTTCTGTTTGAGTGCTGTACCAAAATAAAAAGGAACTTGGGAAGCTGCGTGCGCTCCTGAATTCATTACCCGTCACGGTGACACTGCAAAGGGGCCCCGCGCTTTATAAAATACATCTCAGATGTAGAAGCCGGTTTATTCGTTCTCCTCGCTGCGCAGCCTGGCGTTGGGGTTGGTGATCTTGATGGCGAGCTGAGCGGCTCTCTCCACGATTATCTTCCGGTTCTTGGAAGAGACGTTGTGAGCAATCTCTGCGCAGTAGGACCTGTCGGAAACAGACCGCCCGTCGGGCTCGGCTCCAACAGCGCTGGCAGCACACGAGGCAAAGCACCCTGGAGCCGTCCCGCTGGCGGCACTCGCACGCAGCAGGGCGCGGAAGCGCACCACACAAGAGCTGAGCCACGCGACCGCCACCCCCGTCGCCCGCCCGAAGCGGGCGCTCGCCTCCAGAACAGCTCCACCCTCCCGCCTGCTTTCTTGCGAATGAGGCGGCAATGAGGGCTAGTTCCTTACGGCGTTACTGCTCCTACTACGTTGCCGGGAAGCGCGTGCTACGGGCAGATTGAGGCTGTGGCTGAAGCTAGGAAGCCGCAGCTCCCATCGCCATCCTATCAGAGCGATGCAGGTACGCTGCTGTTCCCCACCCGCGTGCCAGCCCCCCGTGCCCCCCTGCCAGCGGCACTGCAGCACTAGGGAAGCCAAGATGACCTTCATGCTGTTAAAAGTGAGACCTTCCCGTGCCTCCCGCCTGCGCCTCACCCCGATGGCGCGGCCTTTTCGTCTCCCGACCCGGCGCCCGTAGGGGACGGGCAGTGCAGAGCCCCGGCGCCGCGCGAGGCAGGGAGCACGCAGGCCCTGCGGACTCACTTGTTGCTCATCATCAGCACTTCCAGCTCTTTGACATTGTGGACCAGGAACTTTCTGAAGCCGGTGGGCAGCATGTGCTTTGTCTTCTTATTGCTGCCGTAGCCAATGTTGGGCATCAGGATCTGCCCCTTGAACCGCCTGCGCACTCGGTTATCGATACCTCTCGGTTTCCGCCAGTTGCGCTGAAGAAATGCAGAAAGTATTTACTAGTTACGAAAGGAGGTCAGTCCGAAAACGCCTGCTGCAAGGTAACAGCTCTACCCAAACCCCATCTCCAAGAAGGCCGACGGTGCCAGACTGCTACGGCACGGCCCACGGCATCGACACGGACCCTTCACGCTTTCGTTCACCACCAACCCTAACGGCACCCATTTCGACTGTCCCAGAATTCATTTTCTAATGAACTTCCAGTGGCTTTTTACCTTGATCTTGACATAGCGATCAGACTGATGGCGGATGAACTTCTTGGTCCTCTTCTTGACGATTTTAGGTTTCACGAGAGGTCTGAGGGCAGGCATGGTGGCTAAGATAAACAGAACTGGTGTGAGGAGGGAAACCCGACACAAAGGCGCGGCGTTATTCCACCTCCAGCGCGTGTAGCAGACTTATCTTCCGCTCGCTGGCCACTCCAGAGGCTAGCGAGGGAATGGGTATTCATCTGCAGTGTCTCTCCCTCCCGCCTCCGAAGCTGGAGGAGCACTGAGAGCTCTCCAGATGCGATCCTGGGAGGTCGTGCGTTGCTCAGGCTTCCGCAGCTGTGTTCGCACGTATTACGTTCCCCACCCACTATTCCCCCTCCCACCCTAACAACCCAAGAGCCCTTCCAACTCCCAAACACCAGGCTTCTGCAGCGCAGACGGACAGGCGGAGAGCGGTGCGAGCTCCGTTGTTCAAGGTTAGAAGCGACTGGGGCTCACCCAACGCAACCCGCCCGGGCATTCAGCTGCCTCCGGCCAGGAC